TACGAAAAAATCATAATTTTTCAAAATCGAATTAGGTCCAGGATTTTTTTCGATAAATCGTGATGATTCATTATATTCTAACCACCCACCGAGCGGATTGTTCCAGTGACGCCCGGAAAGCCCCTATCCGTACTTCGATCAGAATTCGATCAGACACCTGTCATTTGTGAAAATCGACTTAGGTCCAGGATTTTATTATATGGGCCAAAATACTTTTCGATGCCTAATTCCAGATGTAGTTTAGGAAAAAAACTGGGAAAATCAATATGATATTTTCTTACAATTTATGGCAGCTACATCATCGTGATAGTTTGTTCCATGCCATGGTTACATTTGCAGCGAAGTTTTCAATGAGACTACAATGATTTTGGCAGTTTATGTAGGAAGTGGTCGTGAAGTCAAACAACAGCGTTACTTTACTACAAAATGAAATTTTATTTTCGAAACATCGCTGGTGAGCTCGCTACTCTGGCGCCCTTAAACTGTACCACTAATTAGTAAGTAAGTAAGTAAGTAATATCACAGAACTGATCAGTTCAAAGAAATATTTCTTATAGTTAAGACAACTACGTTACTAATGTCGTATTTATCGACATAAACTTATATAAAATAACAACAGCAAAAAGCGTATACTAAATCAAAATAGCGAGATAAGCTTGGACTTTTGGTGAAAAACAGGTACAGGAATCAAGACAATTTTCACTTACAAGAAACGCAAACATTATTCTTAATGATGTTCAACACTGGGGACAAAATGGTAACGCAATGGTAACCACAGTAACAAAGTGGTATCATACTCACATCACTTTATGCCTTCATAAAGTAGATCTAGTAGGCTCAAAAATAAACTAAAAAATGAACTTCCGAGGTCATAACGCAATATAAAATAACATAACTGTAAGTTATTAAACTTCATTATCGTACAGTATATACTTCGAATTATTTGCACAGCCATAAAGTAACAAAAATAATTCAACATCTTAAAAACTATTAGGCAAACTTACATAAGTTTTATTTTTCAAAAACGTTCAATGGTTCGTCAAACTTGAAGAATGCTCGTTTACCTTTCATGACCATTTTAGGATTAGGAACGATTTGCAAGATATTGTCATAAGGTTCGTAAGATATATCAGTCTCGACTGCTTTAAAAATTTTAGCAGTACAATCTACAGTCTTATAAAACATAACCTTGACGTCTCCCTCTTCATCAACAGTACTTTTAGCCATTCCCAGGTAAGTATAATGTTTGTCTTTAACGGAAGAAGAACTTTAACTAAAGCATAAACATCATCTGATATCTTCGATGGATGAACGTTTTCCTTATGGATTAGCTGTTTTTCTTCCACGTTAGATACAGATGGCTGGTACAAGTTTGCAAGAACCTCTTCATCAGAGCTAGAAGATGGGGAGTAAACCATGTTGTAGTAACTTCTTCTAGATTCGGCAGGGACATTGGATATATAATAATAATAATAATTAATAATTAACGTCTTTTATTTGTAATATTATTACAGGAGGCGAGATTTAGATTCTACCATCTAACCCCCTTAACAATACGAGATGTAAAAAAAAAAGAATTTGTTGAAAATTAATAGGCACCTGTATACAATAACGAATAATCCAAGTAAATACATAAGGAAAATATGAGGACACTTATGGGTTACAACCGATTTCGCTGCTGATCAAGAAGAACTTCTTTCACTTTTTTCTTGAATTTGGATAATGGATTGGCTTCTTTTAAACTGCGGTCTAAAGAATTATATGATTTGATCGCATTGTAAATGTATGAATTCTGAAATAGAGACGTGCTGTGGCGTGGAATTGAAAAAGTCTCTCTATATCTAATATTAATACGATGCATATTCCCTCTACGTATGAATTTGTTTACTAAATATGACGGTGTTTTTGAATAAAGAACCTTATGAGTCAGATTTAGGAGCTGGTACTTATACATTTTATCAATTTTCAGCCATTTGAGTTCATTAATGGCATTCGATATATGATCATATTTTCTGAGATCATTTACAAGCCTGCAACATGTATTCATAATACTTTGAATATGATTTCTTGTTATAATATTTAAATAGGGATAGTAAACTACTAAGCAATACGATATCTTTGAAAATACGAAATATTCACACAATTGCTTTCTCGCAGATTTATGTAATATAGCTTTATTTGCAAATAAAACTCTGAGAATAGCGTAGCACTGAGTAATTAGATAGTTCACGTGTGCAGCAAATTTTAAATCATCATCCATTATAATACCTAGGTTTTTCGAATGATCTACAGGAATTAATTTATTATCTTTTAAATGTATGTCTATGTCCTTTTTTAAGGTATTCTTTTTGTTCTATTTGCGTATACTAACATATTTGTCTTCAAAGGGTTCAAACGAAGATTATGACTACTACTGAACTTTTCAATTTGGGCAAGATCTTGATGAATTTTATTATTTGCCGTTTCCAAGTCATTGCTCCTAAATGAATGGAAAATTTGAGTATCATCTGCAAAAAATTGTATGCTGCATGATTTTACCTCTGTCTCTAAATCTGAGATATACAGGGTGTTCCATAATTATTGCGACAAAATGATAGGGGTTGTAGAGGGCATAAAAATATGCAATTTTGCCTTATAAACCTCTGTTCGTAAATATGCCGTCTGAGCACTACCGCTAATTTTACCTTAAGAGCTCATAGGAGAAACAAAAAATTCACCAGCTGCAAAATGTTCGTCTAGCACATTTCATGGTCTCGCCGGTTTGTAAAAAAAAGCCTGCTGTGTTTACATTTTTGTTATCGTAAATTCTCCACACCGATTCATTTAATTTATGAGTGGTGCGTCAAACTAGATAGTAAATAACAGTACCTTAGTGTTAAAATGCAGCGTTATTCGTATACGGAACTTGCGGATATGCATTTAATTTACGGAGAAGCTGGTGGTAACGGAAGACGAGCCTCGCGAATCTACGCCCAACGGTTTCCAGAACGTCCTCATCCGCATCACGCCATTTTTGCAAGGATTCATGGATGTCTTCATGTCAGTGGCAGCATCAGACACGTCGCGGGAGTAGGGCGGCCCTTCACGAGGCGCACAGTAGAATTTGAGGAAGCGATTCTGCATCATGTAGAGGCCAATCCGCGTACAAGCGTGCGTGCTATTGCACATGATATGGGAGCGTCTCAAACTACTGTTTGGCGGGTTCTACATGACCAGCAACTACACCCATACCACCTTTTAAAAGTCCAAGCCATGGGTCCAGAAGACTATCTGCCGCGTCGACGTTTTTGTCGTTGGTGGCTGCAGCAGGAGTTGAGGCAACCAAACTCTGGTCGCTACGTTTTGTTCACTGACGAGTCCTGTTTTATAAAGGACAGTTATTTTAATGGCCGTAACAGTCACATTTGGGATGAAGAAAACCCTCATGCCATAGCCATCCATAGAGACCAACATCAGTTTTCAATTAGCATCTTGTGCGGCATTGTGGACGAGCATATCATCGGGCCATATTTGCTTCCACCACGTTTGGATGGGCATGCTTATGGTCGATTCTTACAGCATGTGCTGCCGGAACTATTAGAAAATGTGCCACTGAAATAGGTGGATAGGCCGAGGTGGCCCTGTGCCTTGGCCTGCACGGTCACCCGACCTGACCCCACTGGATTATTTTCTCTGGGGCCATCTGAAAGCTTTAGTGTACGAAACTCCTGTTCCCAACCAACATGAGCTACTGGGAAGAGTGATGGCCGCGTCCGCACATGTTCAGGACATACCGGAGGTATGCCACAGAGTTCGCCGATCATTGAACAATCGTGCACAGCTGTGTATTGAGCAAGGTGGAGGACACTTTGAGCAATTACTGTAGGTAAGCTGTTTCAAGAAACTGATCTTTTTTGTTGCTGCAGCCCAAATGGCATATTTCCGAACAGGGGTTTATAAGGCAAAGTTGTTCATTTTGATGCCCTCTACAACCCTTATCATTTTGTCGCAATAATTATGGAACACCCTGTATAATGAAAATAATAGCGGTCCTAAGACTGATCCCTGTGGTGCACCAGAACAAATTTTTTGTTCCGTAGAGTACTGTTGATTTAGACGAACTTTTTGATACCGATTTTCAAGGTAGATTTGAATAAACGAAAGAGGTTTTTCAGAAAATCCATAGTAACTGCATTTAGATACAAGAAGTGAGTGATTAATGGTGTCAAATGCTTTAGTAAAGTCAAGAAGTATGAGAGCTACTGCTTTTTGGTTATCAAGTGCCATTGTTATATTGTCTGTTAAATCACAGAGTGCCGAAACTGTATTATGACCTTGTCGAAATCCAGATTGTTTAGATGGAATAATTTTGTTACAATATAAGTAGGCGCAGAGATGCTCGTAAACAACGCGTTCCAATACTTTAGAAAAAATTGGCAGTAGACTGATCGGTCTCAGTTGACCATAGTTAGTAGGATCAGAACACTTAGGTAGCGGAATAACTATAGCGCGTTTCCACTGATTGTGGAAATATCCCCTCTCTAAACAGCAGTTTATAATATGCGTTAGGTACACATCAACTTCAGGTATGCATAGTAGTATCATATTCAAAGTTATTCCATCTGTACCACTAGAATTTGATTTTATTTTATGTATAATTTTAACAACGGTGTCAATAGTCACTTTATTAAATTGAAATTTGAATTTTGAGTTATTTTTATTAGCTCGGTAATATGCAATTTTATCAGCATAAGCCAAATCACTATTCTCGAAAATTGAAATGAATGCCTCATTTATTTTATAAGGATCTGACAAGCTCACGGGAATTGTAGAATCTTTCTGAGATTGTACTTTGAAAGTCTTTTTATATCCTGATTTTGAGCAGCTTATAAATAATCTCTTTTTCCTCTTCGCACGAGCGATAATGCACGATTTTTGAAATATGTATACTGTTGCCAAGAGTTTTTAAATTGCTAATAACTGGATGGAGGTGTGTTCAAATAGACACGGGAGTGTGAGAGTTATTTCCAGAGATGGTACAAAATGACATTATCGACGGTATGTACCTCTCCTTCTGTTTTGGTGTACATAACTCCAGTATGTAATGTAACCCGCTTTCTCGAGCCGCCAAAATGGTGGCACTGCACTTCTTCAAAACATTTGCAGCTATAGTTCTCGCTGAAATCGATGTGTAGAACGATTTCATCAGTCTTCAAATTATCCATAGCATCTCTATAACTCCCATACTGTGTTGTTATGTTAAAGATATGTTTTTTCAATTCTCTCAGGGTTTTATTAAACCTTCCTGTTAATTCTGGAACAGTCCCTTCAACAATTTCTTTTACGTTTTTTGTAATCTTCACTTTGTTACTTGACCTCTCTATCACTTCACACTTTCTTACACACTGAGGCCATTTAACTTATTGTGAGTGAAGGTCATTCCGTATATTACATACTATTTTTTAGTATTGCAGTCTCCACAGTTACCAGTCATGCACGCTTTTCTATTTGTTGAGCATGCTAAGCTTGTCACGAGGTTGCTCATATTTGGAACAGGAATGATTTTGTTTTTATATACTGCGTGTTAGTATGTAACTTGCATAGGCAAGTTTCTCTACCACCAACTGTAGGCGGCTTTGCATAGAACGGTCGATGTCTTATGAAGTATGAATATGATCATCTCTCACGTATAAACTCTTTCTTGAATGAACAGTAAAGGTTTTTCATTGTGTCCAGTAAATATCGTTTTTGACTTTTTACTTTTTTGTAGGTTACAGTTTCTCGCTTTCCCGCTATAGCTCTAGAAACATCGTCGCGATTAAAGAACTCCATGATTTTTCCAACAAGGCCCGATTTGTTAGAGAGAGTCAGCTTGCGTTTTAGCTGGTCAATGCTGAAAGTCCCACGCACAATAGCAGTCTTCATTTTTGACTTTGATATGGCTTCTCCGTGGAAAACTTGTCTTAGAGCTCTCTTTTCTTTTACTGTTGTCAGTCCTTTGTAATGAACCCTAATATCATTTGATAATGTAGAATATTTATTGTTATCAGGATTGATCCTATGCTGTCTAACCCTTTGATACCTCTTCTTGTACTTATTACACTTATTTTCTAGTCTCTCCAGTTCTTCCTGTAATTTCACATATTGTCTATATAACGCAGATCGGTCGCGTCTCACCCGTTTCCGGCCTCTACACCTGGGAGAATCTGGAGTTCCTGAACGTGGTGTGGAAGGCGGCGTGTTTTCTACCAGTTGCTGTCGTTCTCGCCGTTTCTTATTTGCAATCTTCCATCTACGATTAGCAGCTCTATGCTCTCGCTCAGTCATATCTTTCACTAGTTTTTCTTTGGCGTGGTACCTTTCAAGGTGTTTTCTTTTAGCTTCATCATTTTTTACGGGGTCCAGCTTCAACTTCAGCCTATACCGACGCTGCTTTTTCGCTGGTGTCAGAGCCATTTCGTTGATAAGCTTCTTTCTAAAATCAATGTCGAATGGGTATTTCGGTTCCACTAGTGCACCTAAAACAGCTGTGTTACTAGCGAAACAACTGCGTTACTTTTTTTGGTAACGCAGTGTAGCAGTAACGCAGTGGTCAATTTTTGATTATTTCATTTGTCTGCACTCAATCACACAACCCAAAGCAATTTCATTATCGGCATTGGAGAATATACTTAAATGACTATGTAATCACAAATTCATAAATCAAATATCAGCTTTACTCACATTTCTTTGACGGTAACTCAGCATTCGCACAATAAACACACGCATCTCTTATAATGGCTGTCAAGCGACTACTTTAATTCGCTGAGTCAGCTTACCTAACGGCCACTGCTCGAATTAATAGTCACATCAAGACAAATGGAATGAGGTACATGTTTTAGCGATACACTTATTTTAAGTTCTATTTTCACATAGAAACTCACCGGTGTGAAGTTGGCAGACAAAATTTAGCGGACAATTTGCCGAAGATACCCGAATGACCAGTGGCGTCGACACCCTCGACCAGACTGTGATTGTGAAGGATACAGCTAACAACTCGCAACAATAAATATATATGCACGAGAATAAGCACCCCCATAGGAAGAATCATTTTCCACCCTAATTAAATAATTGGCAGGAACAAGAGTTAACCCAAAACGTTTCTTCGAATTTTCACTTACCGATTACTGTATTGAAAGTAATTAATGAGATAAATAGCATATACCAAGAAAATCTCTAAAGGGGTGCTAGATGAAAAAATATAAATAAAACTTCATTTTCACCCCCAAAAAAATGATTCCCCAAAATGATTTATATCTCAAGAAAATACTCTATTACAGAGACAATTCATGGGCCAGGTGGCATGGTGTGAGAAAGCTTCTGAAAGGCTAGCAGATAAAAAATATGCTAAAAAAATTCATTTTCACCCCCAGAGAAATGATTCCCCAAAATCAGTTGTACCTCAAAAAAAATACTCTATTATAGAGACTATTTATAGGCTATGTGGCATGGTGTGAGAAAGCTTCTGAAAGGCTGGCAAATAAAAAATATGCTAAAAAAATTCATTTTCACCCCCAAGGAAATGATTCCCCAAAATCAGTTGTACCTCAAAAAAATACTCTATTATAGAGACAATTTATAGGCTGGGTCGCATGGTGTGAGAAAGCTTCTGAAAGGCTGGCAGATAAAAAATATGCTAAAAAAATTCATTTTCATCCCCAAGGAAATGATTCCCCAAAATCACTTGTACCTAATACAAATACTCCATTATAGAGACAATTTATAGGCTGGGTGGCATGGTGTGAGAAAGCTTCTGAAAGGCTGGCAGATAAAAAAATATGCTAAAAAATTCATCTTCACCCCCAAGGAAATGATTCCCCAAAATCAGTTGTACCTCAAAAAAATACTCTATTATAGAGACTATTTATAGGCTAGGTGGCATGGTTTGAGAAAGCTTCTGAAAGGCTGGCAAATAAAAAATATGCTAAAGAAATTCATTTTCCCCCCAAGGAAATGATTCCCCAAAATCACTTGTACCTCAAAAAAATACTCCATTATATGTGACAATTTATAGGCTAGGTGGCATGGTGTGAGAAAGCTTCTGAAAGGCTGGCAGATAAAAAAATATGCTAAAAAATTCATTTTCACCCCCAAGGAAATGATTTCCCAAAATCAGTTGTACCCTACCAAAATGATTTATATCTCAAGAAAATACTCTATTACAGAGACAATTCATGGGCTAGGTGGCATGGTGTGAGAAAGCTTCTGAAAGGCTGGCAAATAAAAAATATGCTAAAAAAATTCATTTTCACTCCCAAGGAAATGATTCCCCAAAATCAGTTGTACCTCAAAAAATACTCTATTATAGAGACTATTTATAGGCTAGGTGGCATGGTGTGAGAAAGCTTCTGAAAGGCTGGCAGATAAAAAAATATGCTAAAAAATTCATTTTCACCCCCAAGGAAATGATTCCTCAAAATCAGTTGTACCTCAAAAAAATACTCTATTATAGAGACAATTTATAGGCTGGGCCGCATGGTGTGAGAAAGCTTCTGAAAGGCTGGCAGATAAAAAAATATGTTAAATAATTCATTTTCACCCCTAAGGAAACGATTCCCCAAAATCACTTGTACCTCAAAAAAAGACTATTATAGAGATAATCTATAGGCTGGGTGGCATGGTGTGAGAAAGCTTTTGAAAGGCTGGCAAATAGAAAATATGCTAAAAAAATTCATTTTCACCCCCAAGGAAATGATTCCCCAAAATCAGTTGTACCTCAAAAAATACTCTATTATAGAGACTATTTATAGGCTAGGTGGCATGGTGTGAGAAAGCTTCTGAAAGGCTGGCAAATAAAAAATATGCTAAAGAAATTCATTTTCCCCCCCAGGAAATGATTCCCCAAAATCACTTGTACCTCAAAAAAATACTCCATTATATGTGACAATTTATAGGCTAGGTGGCATGGTGTGAGAAAGCTTCTGAAAGGCTGGCAGATAAAAAAATATGCTAAAAAATTCATTTTCACCCCCAAGGAAATGATTCCTCAAAATCAGTTGTACCTCAAAAAAATACTCTATTCTAGAGACAATTTATAGGCTAGGTGGCATGGTGTGAGAAAGCTTCTGAAAGGCTGGCAAATAAAAAATATGCTAAAAAAATTCATTTGCACCCCCAAGGAAATGATTCCCCAAAATCAGTTGTACCTCAAAAAATACTCTATTATAGAGACTATTTATAGGCTAGGTGGCATGGTGTGAGAAAGCTTCTGAAAGGCTGGCAAATAAAAAATATGCTAAAGAAATTCATTTTCCCCCCCAGGAAATGATTCCCCAAAATCACTTGTACCTCAAAAAAATACTCCATTATATGTGACAATTTATAGGCTAGGTGGCATGGTGTGAGAAGGCTTCTGAAAGGCTGGCAGATAAAAAATATGCTAAAAAAATTCATTTTCACCCCCAAGGAAATGATTCCCCAAAATCAGTTGTACCTCAAAAAATACTCTATTATAGAGACTATTTATAGGCTAGGTGGCATGGTGTGAGAAAGCTTCTGAAAGGCTGGCAGATAAAAAAATATGCTAAAAAATTCATTTTCACCCCCAAGGAAATGATTCCTCAAAATCACTTGTACCTCATAAAAATACTCCATTATAGAGACAATTTATAGGCTAGGTGGCATGGTGTGAGAAAGCTTCTGAAAGGCTGGCAGATAAAAAATGTGCAACAAAATTCATTTTCACCCCCAAAGAAATGATTCCCCAAAATCACTTGAACCTCAAAAAAAGACTCTATTATAGAGACAATTTATCGGCGGGGTGGCATGGTGTGAGAAAGCTTCTGAAGGGCTGGCAGATAAAAAAATATGCTAAAAAATTCATTTTCACCCCCAAGGAAATGATTCCCCAAAATTACTTGTACCTCAAAAAAAGGCTCTATTATGGAGACAATTTATAGGCTGGGTGGCATGGTGCGAGAAAGCTTCTGAAATTCTGGAAGATAAAAAATATACTGAAAAATTAATTTTCACCCCCAAGGAAATGATACCCCAAAATCAGTTGTACCTCAACAAATTACTCTATTATAGAGACAATTTATAGGCTGGGTGCATGGTGTGAGAAAGCTTCTGAAAGGCTGGCAGATAAAAAAATATGTTAAAAAATTCATTTCCACCGCCATGGAAATGATTCCCCAAAATCAGTTGTACCTCAAAAAAATAATCTATTATAGAGAAAATTTATAGGCTAGGTGGCAATGTGTTATAATTATTATAACAATTATTATTATTATTATTATTATTATTATGATTATTATTATTATTATTATTATATATATAATATATATAATTATAGTTATTGTTATTATTATTATTATTAGTATTATTATTATTATTATTATAATTATTATTATTGTTATTATTATTATTATTATAAATATTATTATTATTATTATGATTAATATTAATATTATAATTATGATTATTATTATTATTATAATTAATATTATTATTATAACTATTATTATCATTATTATAATTATACTTTTGTTATTATTATTATTATTATTTTGTTAGCTATTCTCTGCTACTGCAGGTGGTATCCTCAAACGCGGCATTATACTGCAAGCGTCTGAGTGTGACTATTGGTTTCTCTTTGTCTATGTGGCTACATTCAGGACCTTGCGTGCTATATGACAACTACCTAAGATAGCAGCTTTCTGAAGTGAGAGGTATAGTTTCTGCGGCAGATTTAGTTTCTCAATATATTTATGTAGACTCTTAGGTATTTCTCCTGTGGCTCCGATCACTATTGGGATGACTTCAACTTTTTCTTGATTCCACAGTGTTTTTACTTCTGCAGCTAGGGGTAAGTACTTGCGAACCTTTTCTGTCTGCTTCTCAGCTATGTTATGTGGGGCAGGCACACTAATGTCAATTATGCAGGTAACTTGCTTCATTTTATCTTCAACTACGATATCTGGTTTGTTGTATTCCATGGTGTGATCTGTTTGAATTGTTCTATTCCAGTATATTTTATGGCTGTTAGTTTCTATAACTGGAGTCGGCTGGTACATGTAATATGGGGTGCGGTCAGTTAGTATGTTCGCAGCATAACAAATTTCTTGGTGAACTATTTTCGCCACGTTGTCGTGGCGCTTCAGATACTCAGTGGAAGCTAGGGGAGTGCAGCTCGTCAGGATATGCTCTATTGTTTCCGACTTGTTATGGCATATACGACATCTATCTTCAATGCTTTCTTCTTTCATGATGTATTTTCTATAGTTTAAGGTTGGTATCACCTGATCTTGAATGCCAATCATGAAACCTTCAGTTTCCGAAAATAGCTCCCCACTCTTCAGCCATCCATGTGACGCTTCTGCATCAATGTGATCTGAGCTGAGCATGGCTGGATGTCTTCCATGAAGCTGTTTGGACTTCCATTGATGATACCATTGTTCGTCGGTGGTCACATGGGTTAGAGGTTCATACTGTTCATCCGACAGGTTCAGTGGTGTGAACTTGTAGTCAGCTGAAGCTATATTTCTGTGATATGCAGATGTTTCGCCCTTTCTATAAAAGAATCTCCTGAGGTTTTCTATATTCCGCAGGTTAGCTGCTTTAAGGTCAATCACGCCTCGTCCCCCTTTGGATCTTGGCAAGTAGAATCTTTCGATCGAACTCTTGGGATGTCTTGCTCTATGATTTGTAAATAAGACTCTTATGTTTCTGTTTAGCTGCTCTAAGTCAGAGTCTGTCCACTTGATTATTCCGAAGCTATATGTTATTGTCGGAATAGCATATGTGTTAATGGCCCTTACTTTGTGTATTGCGGACAGATGAGTCTTAAGTATTGATTTGACCCTACTCGTTAATCTTTGCTTTAGAGCTTCTTTCATATCTTTGTGTTTGATACCCCTTGCTTGATCTAGTCCCAAATATGTATAGCTCTCTTTCTCAGACATGCTTCTTATTGTCTGACCCTGCTCCAACATAAACCCTGGGTGATCTTCCCATATGCCTTTTCTAATAGCCCCAATCTTACACTTGTCCAGGCCAAACTCCATTCTTGTGTCAGCACTGTATTTCTTTATGGTTTTAAGCAACCTGTCCAGTCCATCCTTAGTGGCAGATATTAGTTTGATGTCATCCATGTAAGCTAGATGGCTTATTTGTAGGTTGTTCTGAAGCTTATAACCTTCGTTCTTCTTGTGCAGCATTCTAGATAGAGGTGCTAATACAATACAGTACCATAAAGCACTTAGTGCATCTCCCTGGAACATACCTCTTTTAATGCTGATGGCACCGATGTTGATATTTTCTTCTTTATGGGTTATTACAAGATTAGTTTTCCATTGAGACATAAGGTTTTGCAGCAATCTCACTATACTAGGGCTGATTTTATATATTTGGAGCATTTCAATTAATAGAGAGTGAGGAACACTGTCAAAGGCCTTTTTATAGTCAATGTAAGCAACATACAGATCTTTCTTACAGCCCTTTGCTTCCTCCGTGATGATTGTATCTATTGTAAGTTGCTCTTTGCAGCCACGACTTCCCTTTTTGCAGCCTTTCTGTTCTTCTGGGAGCAGATGATGCCTTTCAAGGTGCTGGTAAATTTGATCGCATAAAATTGAAGTAATTATTTTATATATGGTTGGAAGACACGTAATTGGCCTGTATTTTGATGGGTCGCTCACAGAAGGGAATGTTTTAGGAAGCAAGTAGGTGTTTCCCGTTGTCAGAAATGCTGGAATGGATTCTGGGTCTTGCAAGAGGCTTGTGCAAATCATCGCTAACGTTTCGTGTGTGCAAGTGAACTTTTTGAGCCAATAGTTATGGATGCCATCAGGTCCAGGCGCCTTCCAGTTCTGCGTGTTGTTTATAGATCTTTTAACATCCTCCACAGTTATGACGTTGTAGTGCATCATGGGGATTTTTTCGGTTTTCCTCTTTTTCGTCCGCGAGCCAACTTGTTTTATTATTATGAGTCTTAGGGTTCTCCCATAGGTCAGCCCAATATGTTAATGCATCTCTAGCTTCTGGAGTTTTACCCGTAGTACTTACATCTTCGTTTTCCAGTGAGCGATAGAACCTCTTTTGATTCGTTCGAAATATGCTATTTTGTAGTTTTCTTTGATGCGACTCTTTATATCGCTTTAGGCGATTTGCGTATACAGACAACCTTTGTTGGAGCTTATCGAGGATCTGTATCGGATTTTGATTATCCTCATCATGATGTCTCTGGGTTATTGTTGTGACTTTATTTCGCAACCGGTTGGACGGGGCATCTGACTTGATGTACTGAACAAGGGGGCCTATAGCTGCTCGTAGATCTTTTATTTTCCCTTCGATCCTCATCTGCCATCTGGGTTTTTGTTCAGTATGCTTGTATGATTGCTTTATCTTTTGATGGTGCAGTTCAGTCACAGTATAAGCGCCGGCATAGATTAGGTCATGATAATCAGTTATACCGGTTATGTCACACAACTTGGTCGTCATGAGATGATTTACTCTATTCAAGATATGAACAGTATTCTTATTTGTTCTCAACCGAGGCAGTCTTGGTCTCAGAAAAGGATCTATGCCTTTGAACAGTATTAAATTCCTTTCAAAACATGTTTTCTCTTCAGTTTCTATCTGCCTTATATTTGTGCTTTCACTGCTGGTATTTGCTGTATCCTCTAGCTCGCGTGATGGTTCAGCCTGTCCTATTCCGAGTTCCATCTGCACTTCTCTTCGTATCCGGTTCACTTTATCTATCGATATCCTGTTCGTCGTAAAGAGATGTCGTCGTTGGTCCAATATGTTCTGACGTGTTTTACTTGCTAGATCAGGAAACCTTCCAATCATGGTTTGGTAGAGTTCGACGCTATAGGGGTCCTTTGATGTTTCCATTTTGGTGATTTTGAGGTAGGTACGGTAGAGGTATTCATTCATTTCATCACTCCATTTCATCCGTTTCCTACGACTATTATCCTCTTGAGTGGGACGAGCAATTTGCTCGGCAACACTTTCAGAGCTTCGATGTAATCGTTGTTCCATTTCCATCGCCTGTGTGGTGGTAGGTCCAATCCTCGGGTCAGTGCCACCTACTTCACTGGATCCCAAGACAGGCATAGCCTCCTGACGCTTCCGAACAGAGTCAGCCTGATTCTCTGCCACGCCCAAAACTGTATTCCTTCTCGTCTTTACAGCGGTTAGAATCACGTTCTACGGGGTGCTAACCCATAGAGCGGTAATGCTAGTTTTTGTCCACCCCAGGTATTTAATTTCCCCGGTACCCTCCATATCTGGAGAGCGTTTCCCAATTCGCACAGGGAGGCGCCCGATGGGAGACTAGCAACTCCACTTATAATTATTATTATTATTATTATTATTATTATAATATAATATACTATTATTATTATTAAATAATCATATTATTATTTTGTTATTATTTAATACTATTATATATTATATTATTATGAATATATTATTATAACTATCATATTATTATTATTATAATTATTTATTATTATTATCATTATTATAATTAATTATATTATTATTATATTAATTATTATTATAACTATTATTATAATTAAAATTATTATTATTATTATTATTATTAGATTATAAGTATTATGATATCATTATTATTATAACTAGTATTTATTATATTATTAATATTATTATTATTAACTATATATTATTTAATAGTACGATTATTATTATTAATTATAATTATAATTATATTATTATGATTATTATTATACTATTATTATAATTATTATTATTTATCAATATTATTTATTATGATGTTATAATTATTATTATAATATTATGAATTATTATTTTATAATATAATTATATATTATCATTATGATTCTTATTATTATGCTTATTCTTATAATTATATTATTATTATTCTTATTTTTCTTATTGTTATTATCAATATACTTATTATTCTTTATTCTTCTGTTATTCTTGTTTTCTTATTCTTCTGATAATAATTATTATTATAACTATTATTCTTATTATTATTCTTACTTGTTATCCTTCTTCTTCTTATTCTCTTCTTCTATCTTCTTATTATTCTCGCTATTCTTCTTCTCCTTCTTCTTCTTCTTCTTCTATCTGCTTCTCTTCTTATTCTCTTCTTCTTCTTCTTATTATTCTTCTTCTCTTTCTTCTGTCGCCTTTCTCTTTCTACTCCTCCTCTCCTTCTTCCTATTCTTTTCTTCTTCTTCTTTGTTTTTTTCCCCCCCCTCTCTTCCACTGGTTCTGTCCATGTGGGCCGGTTTTGGTTGGTCATTTTCATTATGGTACTTCGAAGATGTTACCCACATCCTAACGAAGTCCATTACCTATAGTGTCTTACGTAATATGGTTGCTGTACCATACAAAGCAATT